AACTTGCAAACTTACCGCTATAAACACACAAATGAAATAAAATTGAATTTCGCCGATCTAAACAATTTTATTTGAAAAAAGAAAAGAATCTTCATGGACAAAAATGGATGGGCATAATAATAGCACGTTTAACTAAAAATTATGTATGATATGTATCATATGTTCGAAAAACTTGAAACGTAAACACGCCGAATAGGAGCAACGGCCACTTTATAGGGATGGGCAAACACATGCAAATAATAATTTGTTATGTCAATTTGTTAATGCATCCGAAGAAGTTTGTAAAATTAGAATTCATTTTGGCCCATTTGCCCGCTAATATTGATGTAATATAAAAATATCAATCGAAACGGTTTAATTTGCCAGGACGCATACGAGATGATAAAACGCGATATCCTTCGATATGGTACAAGTAATTGTGGTGAAAATAACATGTACGGTATTGCGATCGCGAACAACAAAATGATCAGATTATACTATTGAATTCATAAGTCTTAGCGCGAAAATGTATATTACTCATTTGCATAACGACGACAACGGTAACGATACTTGCTATAAAATTACAAAATTAAAGGGAATTAACGTATAATTAGCATAAAACCGTTCTCGTAGGTTGCCTTGGTTCGTAACATCAAGTCTCGTCCACTCTCAAAAAACACTGAGAATATCACGGGCCATCCAACTGCAAGACATTGCCGTCGCTGCTGTCGTCATCTTCCTGAAAGCTGACATGAAAAACCGAAATGCAGATCATCAAGGACATCGCCGTGATATACAAAATAATAAGGCACCTCAGGATTTTTTGGTATGAACATCTATTTGTACATATATGTGGGAAACAACAAAATAAGGTAGCAGTTTTGACGTAATATATGAAGAAATTAAATAAATCTCTACTCTTATGGTGCAGTAATTTTTCTCTTCTCACATTGTCGCTCAGTCTGGGAACGAGAATGAACAACTTCGGAAGAGGAGATACGATTATAATTGCCGATTATTAATAATCTGTCTCCCATTCCTAGGTTATCCATTTTCTTTCAAGCTGAGGGACAATGTAAGAAAATTTACTGTACATGCAATGAGGTAAGTGTATCAATTACTGTGACCATTAAATTAAATTGCTTTTTTTACGCATACCGCACTTCTTAAAACATTTTAATTATATGTTGATGTGTTTTATACATATAAATACGAATTTGTTCATAAGTAAAATATGTAAACAATACGAAATATTTCACAGTTTTTGAGCGAGTCACTCTGCCCTTAGAAGGATAAAAGATTAATCATCGTGTCAGTTATTCAGCCTTTTCTAGTTACTGTGTGTCAATTTTTGTACATCGATGTAATTACAGTGATCAGTTCTAGGTTCTAAATAATCCGTTAACAAAAATGTGAAAACGTAAAATATTCCGTACTAAATTATTTCGCATAATTTATTATATGTGTTTTAATACTTACGATATTATTAAAAAAGGAATATCACGTGTAGCGTGTACACATTTCACAGAGCAAGAAAGTAAGCTAAGACGTAACACGTGGTTCGGTACGAGAGGATTCGGTAAACAAGGCACGCATCGTAAAAGACAGTGCACAGCAATCGAAACAAGACGTAAATTTGTTTCAGTTACTGAATTACTTTAAATAAAATAATATATCGAAGAGGTCGATTATATTATTGTTTTTTTTTGTAATTTTATCCAATTTTATGAATATAATAGTTTTTTTTTACTGGTAAGATGATTTTATATTTTTTACATCTTTATTTGCACATTAAACCATTGTCAGAAATTTAAAAAGTTAATCTCCACATTTTATAGGTCTTAAGAAGTTTAACTTTCGATTTGATTATGAAATTTACAAATTTTATTCAAAAAATTCAACATCTTTAATTTAATAATGTTGTTTTTAAATACAAGTAAAATTATTGTGAGGATTCAGTAACTAGGGGGGGGGGGTGCACAGTAATTGACACACTCACCCTATTTAATGTAAATCTGAATTCGTTGCTTCGATTTTGTTGACATTGTCGAATAAATAAACGATCTTCTTTTATAGTGATGCAGCGTGTCCGACCGCGACGTCATATCTTTCACTATGTCCTGCGATAAATATTTATAAATTTCCATTGCATTTTTAGACATACCATACTTCCGTGCTTCTGGTGGAAGAAGTTTACTGTAAATTTAGACCATCTGAACAAAAATAAAATAACTAATTAACTACTTTTATGCAGGGCTGGAGAAAATTTCAAATAATTTCAAATAGTAAATATAGAAATATTTGCATAAGTAAATATCCTTTGGAAATACTATTTCATTTAATGCTTGAATGAAGTACCATTTGGAAATACAATATCATTTAATGCTGAAACGAACTATTGTTTGGAAATATTATTTCATTAAATGTTTAAAATATGAGAAAATACTATTTATCATTTATATTCGGATTTAAATATAGAGTAATGTATTTGATTCGAATGATGTCGTCCAAAATGGAAAGTTCGTTGGTTACCTCACAATGAAAAAGACACTAAAATACCGTTTATGAAAAACAAATTAATAAAATCGATGCTCACATGAGAAGACAAAAGTATTCATAACGTTTTTACTATTTAAAAAATCTATTTTTCCCCAACCTTGCAATTAAGATTATAATGAATTGTATAATAAATTGAAGTTCGAACCTTTAATCACTTGTTACATACAGTGACTCTGATTAATATTCGAACACCTTTTAAAACGCAATAAATTTTTTAGAACTCAACCAAACTATTTGAATTTTTTTTAGAAGGTAGAGGGAATAGCTAGAATGCTTTTTTTAAATTTTGCTATTGCCTGGAACGACAAAAAAAATTAAAAAACTCGACTTTTCTAACACTATCATCCGAACCCATAACGAAAATTAAAAAAATACATTTCAACACCTTCGACCAATAAAAGTGTGAGAAATTTACAGTTTTTTAAATCTTCTAACGCTTATAACTTGACTTTGCTTTAACCGATGTTGATGAAATCTCCAGCATGCGTATAAACTCAACATGATCTATAGAACGCATTTTTCAAAATTTTCGTTATAGGCTCAGATATAAAAAGTTAAAAGATTAAAAAAATTCAAAATTCAAAAATAGAATTCTAGTTAGGGTCTAGTAGACAGATCTCTCTGTCACCTAATATTATTGCATTTTGAAAACTGTCCGAATATTAATCAGAGTCACTGTAAATAATTGTGATCACAATTATATCGTGTTTAGTTTAATTTTAATCAGCAAAACAAAGACAAAATCGACGATACAAGTTGCATACCAAAGAATCGGGAATTAAAAAGGTTGCAACGTTGTGCCTCGCTTGCATCAGTTCGAATCGTAGTCTCGCCGACATTCTACCCTATGCTGGCTTGGTGGTTAAGCGTGTTTAAAACGCAGAAAAC